TAGGGCAAATGTGTAGTTGATCATTTCACTAACTTGTAACCTTTTATTAAAAAAAAACCCAAAATGCATTTTAGGAAGTTCCCTTAGCAAACCGTATAATAAAAATAATGTAGGAATAGCTAGCAATAAAACAGAGTAAGTAATGTTTTATTCAGGTGCTAAAATATTTCATTACATTTTTTAAAAGTACCCATCTCATTCAGCCGAGAATGTCAAAGCTGTGTTTAATAACCACTGTGACACAAAGCATGAAAAAAGCCAACACTGGAAAAGATCAATAACATGAGACCAGGCATCAAGGATAAATTTGATGAACAAGTGATAAGGGGAGCAAATATTGAATGCTCTGAATACAGAATAAAGACAGCCTGCAGCAGCAGCTGTGGTCAATATTCTCTTAAGTGTTGGGGGAAAAAAAGCTTTATAACCGTGACAGTTTTGGTGATCATTGTTAAATAAAAAATAATTATGACCGTTATTTTCCGTCATGTCAACAGTTTAACCTCTGCATCTATTCTCTCTGAACAAAAACAGAACAAAGCAGAGTAAACCAACATTTGAAGGCTGTAGTGTGTTTCTAAATTCCAGTGCCTGTCAGACAGCTGAATGTCTACTTTTATGTTCTCAGAGAAGAATACACTGTTCATTATCTTTCCAAATTAAAGTATGACTTTCTCCATCATCCCCTCTCTTCCACAGACAGACAGTCATCCCTGGTTTTATCCCTTGGACACGGCTGATTTAAGTCCACTGTCAGATCAGCCACACACTGGGCCTCCCAGTGATTTCACCTCAGGCCATACAGAGATATTACCAACAAGGCTTCCCTGCAACTTTTTCTCTCCCTATGTTCATCTTCTCTACCAGGGACTGAATCACATTTTCCAGCAGTCCTTTAAGCTGAGTAACTGTGGTTTGTATAAAATCAGATATGGGATTATGTTATGCATTGTAAAAAAAATGAATAAATAAGGTTGTCAGCAGAGCATTTATAATTTTTATGAAACCACATTAGTACACTGATTTTACATCATGTAAAAATAAATAAAGCATAATGTAGTGGGTGTTAACTGCAAATAGCGCCCAGCTAATGGTTAAAAAAAATCCTGCTATTTGTTATCTTTTGGATTCAACTTATGAACGTGGTTCAACCATAAATATAAAAAATAAAAGGAAAAAAAATAGAGGGAAAAAGTAGAACCTTTAAACAATAAAGTAGACCAGTGCTGAAAGTTAAAGCAAATACACATGGCTGAGCTTGGAACCAATTCTTATTACTGTTCAAAAACAGTTTGAGAGTGGTGTACATATGTTCCAAAAGAGTCTTTGGGAACTTCCTCATATCAAAATATAAATTTCATTTGCAATTTAGAGCACATAAAGCAGAAAAGAAGTAGACCAAGTTTTCTACCAGGTTAAATGAACACTGAACTTTATATGTTTTAAAGCCGTCTAATCATTATGTGATCTCATGTATGAACATCTGACTTGGAATGCATCTAGGAGGTTAAGGGCCTCCGTGTAGCTAAAAACAGCAGTGGCATCAACAGGTTGCTCTATTGTAAGCTGCCAAATTACAAAGATAACTTAACAGTTTTTTTGTTTTTTTGTTTGTTTTTTTTTAGAAAAACTGAGCCCCTAATTTAAGCCTGCTTTGTGATTGCCATGAGCTTGATGACTGAGAATTTGCACAAAATTGTATCTTTGAATTTCCATTTTAAAATTGAGAACAAAAGAACAAAAAAACAAAAAGTGAAAGCAATCTCATGTAACTGTATGACGTCTGCAACAGTATTCTTCAGGGCACATTTTGAGCTGTACGGTATGTGGTTTAAAAAATGAAAAATAACAAAAGATGTCTAACTCTCTCTCTCTCTCCATTTAGTTCTTATCCCTTCTTTCTCACCTGCCTTTCTATCTCAATGTTTGTTGTTGTTGCTTCATGTTTGCTGTATACTCCCTAAATAATTTTCAATAGTTATGGCAACAGTCATAATTGTTTGCTTGTGAAAGGAAAGCTGTTGGATTATCATCAAGCTCATTTATTTCCAGAGCCATATCGGCCAAACAGGACACAAAAAGACAAAAAAGATTATTTAATAATTCCATTTAAAATGTGCAATTAGAAAAAAACTATCTTCAAACATCTTTAAATGTTACACTTGAAACGGCTGTTTTACTTTTCAGGGACTCTATTGGTCTTCCATAGAGTCCTACCAATGACCTGATTATTTGAAACAGGTGTGTTTGAGCAGAGACACATCTAAAAGGTGCAGGACACCAGACCCAAAGGACCAGAATTGAGGAACCCTAAGATAACACATTGTAAACTACATACACCACATCAACACAGAGGGATCTGTCTTATACCACATAAGAAATAAGAAAAGATAAAAATTTATTTAGATCAAACCCCTCTTTTGCTGACTGAAACAGCCTCGTTGGCTTTTTTAGAGCCTTACAATAGTGATTAAAGAGGAATGCATCCGCACTTCAGGCCAGTTCTCCCTGCATCACCCCTCTCCCTTGTCTCCAGTTTTCTTTCCTCTGTTACAGCAATTGCGGCTAATCAGCGCCTTTAATTTAATCAGGCTTCATCTGAACTGAAGTTGGCCCTGAGCAACAATGGTTGAGCGAGGAACTTGTGAAAGAAGAACATGGTCAGATTTCTAATTATCAAAGCAGGGAAAGACAGACAGAGCTACACATTGCTGTAATTGGTCAACCTGTGGATGAGAAGGAGGAAGAGTGAAGAAACTTTCAAGTGAGATGAGGAATACACACGTGGAATTGTGCCTTGGTTAATGAGAGATGTATAAAAATGGGAGTGTTTAGAGAACATCAAGCCGAGTGTCTAGAGCTGTTAACTCTTATTTAACTTACCATTATCTGACATGGAAGCACAGTATGCAACTGAAACTAATGAAGCTGGCATTCTTGAGAGTTTTTGTGTTTTAGCACTCAGCAGCAGTCATTTCTCTTCTTATACAATTTCCTGATAAAGACACACACATGCACAGCTTGGTTTTCATGACATATTTGGACATTTCATTGACATGCATTCATTTTATATGGCCTAACCCAGACCCAGTGTTGTATAAAGCACAGAAATCTCAGAGTCAAATTAAAGTGTAGGTACTAGGGGTGTAAATCACATCCATCATGGCAATTCGATTCAGTATCGATTTCCTGACCCAATGATTTGATTATTTTCGATACTCAAGAATACACCACGATTTGATTAATCGGTTAATTTTCTTATTTTTTATTTTTATTTCATTTTATTTTTTTGTACACCTTACAGGTTAAACAAAGTTTCAAGTTTGAAATAAACAGTGTTGGGCACGTTACTTTGAAAAAGTAATTAGTTATAGTTACTAGTTACTTCTCCCAAAAAGTAACTGAGTTACTAACTGAGTTACTCCACAATAAAGGTAACTAGTTACTAGTAAAAGTGACTATTGCGTTACTTTTGCGCACGAGTCCTATCATGAAAAAAGGTTCATTGTGCGACCTGAGTAACGCGCAGTAACGGGGTGTCTGCAATGGTAACTGCGTTATAGTTACAATCAAAGTAATTAGTTAGATTACTCGTTACTAAAACAAGGTAACGGCGTTACTAACGCCGTTTCAATGCCGTTAGTCCCATCACTGGAAATAAATCAATGAAAGCTGTAATATCGTTATGCATTTTTTTTTTAGAAACAACATCAAATAACAGAAGTAGAAAAGTTGCGTCAAAAATACAGTGAACCCTCGCTATAACGCGGTTCACTTTTCACGGTCTTGCTGCTTCACAGATTTGCATCATGCATTGTTAAACTTTATTGTCAAACATATTAATGGTGGCATGTCGGTTTATAAGGATCTTTGGGCCTAGAAGAAAAAAGAGCGACAACAACTACCGATAACTATGTTCTTCTCTCCAAAAAACACACCTGCACCACAGGCTTTAGAAGAAAAAAACGCCACAGAGCAGAGTCAGGATGCAGCGGCTCCGTCAGAACAGCAGTGAAATACTGTACTGTACTGTACACGTCAGTCAGTAATTGTCCTACTGTACTTTTTTTCATAATCATTTTTCATTTTGTCCCGTTCCAATCCGTCACGGCGGGGCGGTGCTGATCCCCGCAATATTAACCCTTCATTTCGTATTGATGATTAAAATTATTACGTATTTATTTATAACTATATTATTTTACAGTACAGTACAGTAGTTAACAACGTTTATACCGTATTTTTATTTGTTAAACAAATGCTTGGGCCTGTAAAAAGTTTTTGCTCCTTGATTTCAATGTTGTATGGAGTATTTCATTGTATAATAACTGTAAAAAAATTAAGGTTTCTACTTCACGGATTTCACCTATTGCGGGTTTTTTTTGGAACGTAACCCCGCGATAAACGAGGGTTCACTGTACTGCAAAAATACTGCACATAATCAGTGACATTGAGTTCAACGCAATACCTCTGCTCCAGACGTCCCCGCCCCCTCCACAGACGTAAATTGTAGCTGACCGCAAACAGTGCTGCAGACAGGAGGCTGCAGAAAGGAGGTTATAGCATCAAATGTCACAGCTAATGCACCAAACAAAGCTTCTGCCGCCCTGGCGTCCTCTTCCACAACATCTTCCACTTTCCTCCTCTAAATAAAAGATGTATGACAGAGGAGACTCATCCATGACCTCAGACACAAAATTCTCCTCCTCTTGCATGTTTCCGCTTTCCATAGTGTTCCTCGACATTGTTTCTAAGTCACCAATTTAGTGCTACTACAACTTAGAACTAGTAGGTTAATGGTTAGTGCTTCAGAGAAAGCGGCCACAATCACACTGCAAACCTTCCGCCACAACAATCCTGCCCTCTTGATAAACAACCAATCACATTCACTTTATTTAATCGTGTAAAGTCATGCACCACTCGGGAGAATTCAGAAATGCAACGGTTGAAACAGCCGTTTCTCTACGACTTTAAATAAGGCCACGGCCACCGGCTCTCCTTACCAACTGGTGGTTCCCCTGTAGGTGAGTCCGACGTTGTTGCAGTCGCTGTCGTCTCAGTCTCCTCTTCCCTGTGGCTGGTGCTGATTGTGAGACTGGCTTTGTGTTTAATGGGAGAAACAAAACAGGTGTATTCTATTGGTGGTGATGAACAAGCCCAGGCAAGTCCCGACTTTGTTGCAGTCACTCAGTAGGTGGGGTCAAACACTTGGTTTCTCTTGCATTTGTTTGTATACTCAAGTACAGTAGTTACTATACAACACTGCCCAGACCCTTACCATAACCCTATGATATACACCTAACCCTAACCATCCTGACACTAACCTCAACTCTAAGGATTGAACCATATGAGGAGCAGTTGAATGTCCCTATGTATATGTACATCCCCAAATGTAGGATATTTTACAAAATAATTCCTCCACATTGTAGGTAACCCCCCCCCCCCCCACCATACATATATATATATATATATATATATATATATATATATATATATATATATATATATATATATATATACAGGTGCTGGTCATAAAATTAGAATATCATGAAAAAGTAGATTGATTTCAGTAATTCCATTTAAAAAGTGAAACTTGTATATTATATTCATACATTACATACAAACTCATATATTTCAGATGTTTATTTTGTTTAATTTTGATGATTACAAATGACAACAAATGAAAATCTCAAATTCATCATATCAGAAAATTAGAATATTGTGAAAAGGTTCAAAATTGATGGCCCCTGGTGCCACACTCTAATCAGCTAATTAACTCAAACCACCTGCAAAAGCCTTTAAATGGTCTTTCAGTCTAGTTCTATAGGCTACACAATCATGGGGAAGACTGCTGACTTGACAGTTGTCCAAAAGACGACCATCGACACCTTGCACAAGGAGGGCAAGACACAAAAGGTCATCGCTAAAGAGGCTGGCTGTTCACAGAGCTCAGTGTCCAAGCACATTAATAGAGAGGCGAAGGGAAGGAAAAGATGTGGTCGAAAAAAGTGTACAAGCAAGAGAGATAACCGCACCCTGGAGAGGATTGTGAAACAAAACCCCTTCAAAAATGTGGGGGAGATTCACAAAGAGTGGACTGCAGCTGGAGTGAGTGCTTCAAGAACCACCACACACAGACGTATGAAAGACATGGGTTTCTGCTGTCGCATTCCTTGTGTCAAGCCACTCTTGAACCACAGACAGCGTCAGAAGCGTCTAAAGAGAAACAGGACTGGACTGCTGGTGAGTGGTCCAAAGTCATGTTCTCTGATGAAAGTAAATTTTGCATTTCCTTTGGAAATCAAGGTCCCAGAGTCTGGAGGAAAAGAAGAGAGGCACTTCATCCACGTTGCTTGAAGTCCAGTGTAAAGTTTCCACAGTCAGTGATGGTTTGGGGTGCCATGTCATCTGCTGGTGTTGGTCCATTGTGTTTTCTGAGGTCCAGGGTCAACGCAGCCACATACCAGGAAGTTTTAGAGCACTTCATGCTTCCTGCAGCTGACCAACTTTTTGGAGATGCAGATTTCATTTTCCAACAGGACTTGGCACCTGCACACAGTGCCAAAGCTACCAGTACCTGGTTGAAGGACCATGGTATCCCTGTTCTTAATTGGCCAGCAAACTCTCCTGACCTTAACCCCATAGAAAATCTATGGGGTATTGTGAAGAAGAAGATGCAATACACCAGACCCAACAATTCAGAAGAGCTAAAAGCCACTATTAGAGCAACCTGGGCTATCATAACACCTGAGCAGTGCCACAGACTGATCGACTCCATGCCACGCCGCATTGCTGCAGTAATACAGGCCAAAGGAGGCCCAACTAAATACTGAGTGCTGTACATGCTCATACTTTTCATGTTCATACTTTTCAGTTGGCCAACATTTCTATAAATCCTTTGTTTTTATTGGTCTTCAGTAATATTCTAATTTTCTGATATGATGAATTTGAGATTTTCATTTGTTGTCATTTGTAATCATCAAAATTAAACAAAATAAACATCTGAAATATATGAGTTTGTATGTAATGTATGAATATAATATACAAGTTTCACTTTTTAAATGGAATTACTGAAATCAATCTACTTTTTCATGATATTCTAATTTTATGACCAGCACCTGTATATATATATATATACATACATACATACATACACACACATACACATGCGCATATTTGTATATCACTTTTCTACTGCAGTGTTACAATTTTCTCATCATTTTTCTGTTGACATACATTTAGAGAAATTGCATACTATTTTAGTGCCAAAACTGTGACGTTTTTGGATTTTTTTTCTATTTCCTACCTGCATGAATGCTGAAGTTATTCACCCACACTAACATATAAAAAAAAGAGAGAAGGTATAATCATAGAAGCAACGTAAACATTTCAATAAATGTGATAAAAGCAAATCTTCTTTGAGAAAATCCACCAGTGTAATTGCAGTGCATGAGATAACAGTCCATCTCTTCTCCAATCCTTTTTGAAATTTAAAAAACTGTCTGCTGAACCGCAAAAAATTTTCAACCTCGGTTGTGAAGGGTGTTATGCTGACTGCCTCACAAATGAAATTCATTGGAATCCTAGTCTTTGACTCTCCATCATATTAGTGGTGAAAAATATTCCCACTGTGTGGAAGAAATAAATCTTTTTGCCTGAAATGCCCAATGTTTCATGATCCTGCATTTGCATAAGCCTAGGTATAGGGAAGCCGTAACTGAAATAGGTCCACAGAGGCTATGTGCTATTAACAGAAAAGACAGTAGTGCAATACTTTCTAACACATAAACCCACTCAAAGAACATACCTATATGCCTAAATAAATTCTCACTGATAATCCCATCTACCCATTGTTAGTCTTGCTCTGCCCACATAAACATGATAGTTAGTTTGACTAACAGTGTCTGTAGTTGAGTACAGTTTAGTTTGTAGACTTTGGCGCTATATAAATAAACTGAACTGAATTGAATAATACTGAGTATTTTCAAGTGATGATTCCATATATGCTTTGGATGTTTGTATCCATGATATATTTTTTTCTACATCTCTGCAGATGTAGAAGCAGTCTCTGAGGATGTTCTCTTGTATTTTCTTTTATCTCTTCTTCATTCTTACCCTTTCTCCTCTCCCTTTTTCTCTTTTTTAATGTTTTGGCTCTTTTTACTATTTTCTTCCTTTTTACTTCTGTTTCTGTGTATTTCACATCGGAAATAATCCCCAAATAATGTCTAATAAAGGTTTCTATATACGTATATCAAGCAGAAGATTACAATACAGGCTAAAACTTCCATTGGTTAAAATAAATATTTTGTGTTGCTCTTTAGGACTAATAAAAAGAATCCTGTGCACTACAGTTGGAGATAGGACATGTTAGATAATGAAAGGCAGACTAGCTGTTAAGCAGATGAGTTGGAGCACAGGTAGGGAAAATGGGTAATACATGGATGTGGAACAGAATTGAGGCCAGAAAAAGATAAGAATCCAGCTAACAACAATGACAAACAGTGAACTAAAATAAAGAAGAATGCTCTGGAAAATGACAAGCAAATCAGTTGAGGATGAGAGGAGATGGGTATAAGGGAAGATTAAGGACTCTTTTTTAATTTTAGCCAGATAACAAGCAGTATGAACAAATAGTGAAAAAGCAGACCTCTTTCCTGAGCTCGTCTGCCTGGCTGTGTGTTTCCTGGACGGGGCCGCCTTTTACAGCTGCTTTTTGTATCTCTGCTTCTGTCTCCTTGAACCCCAGTCGGCCTCGGCAGATGGCCGCTCACACTGAGCCTGGTTCTGCTGGAGGTTTCTTCCTGTTAAAAGGGAGTTTTTCCTCTCCACTGTCGCTACAAGCATGCTTAGTGTGGGGGATTGTATTTGAGTCAATGAGTCAATGCAATCAACTGGTTTTCCTTAGATAGAAAACTTTGTATCAATTTGATCTGGTTGAACTGTAAAGTGCCTTGAGATGACATGTGTTGTGAATTTGGCGCTATATAAATAAACTGAATTGAATTGAATTGAATTTCCACTGGCATCTTCTTAGGTTCATATTAGTATACCTTGATGCAATAAAATGGCAAAAATCTATAAGGCAGATACTTTACACTGGTTGTAAAAAAAATAAATATATACAGAAGAACAGACCTTTACTAATTAATTAAAATAATTCTGCTTATAAGAAGTTCAGCCAGTAAAGCATGTGTTCTACAAAAACAAAATCCATAATCTTACTTGATCATCTGAATGTTGATAACACTGTATCATAAGCTACACATACTTCTGAACATTGAACCCTTCATTAGCAATTATTGCATGGCTCACTAAACTTTTACTATGATAGGGATTTTGAGAATGATTGATTGCACACCAGGATTTATTTGACCACAATTCACTTCTGGAAATAAATAAAAAAAACATGATTATAGCCATTAGTGATCCTACTCATTGAGAGCAGAGTGACCTTTTACATTTTTCCTCCGCATACCCAACAATTCAGTCTTCCGTGAAAGAAAGGTTTGTCCTTGCCTATCTTGTACAATTTGCTCAGATTTTTTTGAAATTCAAAAGCTGACCTTATAGCCAAATGGATAACTTCTTAGATTGACATGCACTTTAATAAGATGAGCAGTTATGAACATGTAATGCTGAGATTTACTCTGACTCTCTAAAACATACCTATTTATTTTTTGCTCTCTCTAGACCAAAAGCATGTTCTGCCATTTAAAATTCAGTTATGTAAAAATTTATTTTATATAGCATTTAAGAAATATAGTGTCAGTATTTGCTTTGTTTTTTTTTACATTGTAATCAAAATCATAATTTTCCATTAGTCTTTAATATGAAATTATAGTTCTTTTTTTAAGTAAATTAAAATGCCCTTTGACAGTTTATAATCAATAAATTGTACTAACTGTGTCAAGCTGCACTCTGAGTGAAATCGAGTTTGTGATGCTAAAGGAACATTAGTAAAAATATAAACAGAAGAGTATAGAGGATCACAGAGGATTAGCAATTTTCCTGCATTCACATATTATCATTGATCTTAGAACATCAAAGCATATATGAAATTATTAAATGTACAGTTCTCTTGAATAGATGTCTCTGGGTATTTGAAGTAGGGTTTCCCCCAAG